CGTGTGTACAGTTTTAATACTGTATAATTCTATACTTTATATATATATATGTACTACTTTAAGCTACGTTTGCAATAAAGTGTATGAATTAAAATATAACATGTATATACATACATTTGACAGTTACTGACCCGATGTGTTTTTTTTTTGTAGTCAATCCTTTTATTTACTTACTTATTATGCATATTAACATGGACAGCAACGCTAAAAGACATGTGCCATACACCAGACACAAACAACAACGTCTTACTAGATGTACATGTAATTAGTATTAAATTATTCAAACATATTATAAGTGAGGGAATCTGTGTTGTTATGCGTGCTCAGTATTTTGAAACGTTCGCTAGTCACGTGATGCGTTGAGGAAGCGAACAGCTCTGCCGCTCAACTGCAGTGACAGCCGGATTTTCACGCAATTAGCCTCACATTTGTGTTTCATTTTCGCCGTAACATCGAAATAAAATGGCAGACACTGGAAATCGTTTGCGTAAGTTGCTGGAATGCCCTAATTTTGATCCTCAATCGTACGTGAAGCAGCTCTCGCAGCAGTCGGATGGGGACCGGGATCTACAAGAACACCGTCAGAAAATACAAACAGTCGCCGACGAAACCGCGCAAAACCTGAAGAAAAATGTTTATAAAAACTACAGACAGTTTATTGAGACAGCCAAGGAGATTTCTTACTTGGAAAGTGAGATGTATCAGCTGAGTCACATTCTCACTGAGCAGAAGAGCATAATGGAGAGCATTACACAGTCTCTCCTGTCCACAGATAAAGATGAAGCGGCCAAAGAGATGCTCGCAGCCTTCCCAAAGGAAACCGAAGAGGTTAAACAAAGAACCCTAACCACACTTTTGGAAAAAGTGGAGGGATGCAAGAACATCATGGAAACCCCCGGCAGATATCTGGTCTATAATGGTGATCTTTTGGAGTATGACGCAGACAACATGTCACAGATCCAAAAGGTTCACGCGTTTCTGATGAACGATTGCCTGCTCATCGCAACCTGGCTGGCGAACAGACGCGGAGCCGTGAAATACAAGTACAATGCGTTGTATGATCTAGAAAGCTTTGCGGTTGTGAACGTAAAAGACAACCCTCCGATGAAAGACATGTTCAAAATCCTCATGTTCCCCGAGAGCCGCATCTTCAAAGCCGAGAACAGCAAGATCAAGAAAGAGTGGCTGGAGATTCTGGAGGAAACGAAGAAAAACAAAGTGGCGAAAGACAAAAACATAAAGGAAGAGGAGGTTCCAACGTCGCCAGTCCGGCAGGACATCTCCACAAACCCATTTGATGAGGACGAGCCTCTGGGTTCAGAGGAACTGGTGGATCTCAGTCCCGAATGGATCCAGGAGCTTCCAGAAGACCTTGACGTGTACATCGCTCAGAGAGACTTTGAGGGTGCTGTTGATCTTCTGGATAAGCTAAACGAATATCTGAAGGAGCAACCAGTGAGCCCACGAGTGAAGGAGCTGAGGGGGAAGGTGGATGAGCGTGTTCGACAGCTGACGGAGGTCCTGGTGTTCGAACTCTCGCCTGATCGCTCGCTCCGTGGAGGAGCTAAAGCCACGCGGCGAGCCGTCTCTCAACTCATTCGCCTGGGACAGTCCACGAAGGCCTGTGAGCTGTTTTTGAAAAACAGAGCGGCGGCCGTCCAAACCGCCATCCGCCAGCTTCGCATCGAGGGCGCCACGCTGCTTTACATCCAAAAGCTCTGCAACATCTTCTTCACGAGCCTGCTTGAAACCGCCAGGGAGTTTGAGACTGATTTCGCAGGCAACACTGGCTGCTACTCCGCCTTTGTGGTCTGGTCTCGTTCGGTGATGAAGATGTTCGTAGATGCCTTCAGCAAGCAGGTGTTTGACAGCAAAGAAAGCTTGTCCACTGCTGCAGAATGCGTGAAGTTCGCCAGTGAGCACTGCAGGCAGCTGAGCGAGATCGGCTTGGATCTGACCTTCATTTTGCAGTTGTTACTCATGAAAGACATCAGGGCGGCTCTCCAAAGCCAGAAGGACATCATCATAGAAGCAACGAGGCATCGTAACTCTGAGGAGATGTGGCGTAGGATGAACCTGATGACTCCTGAAGCTCTGGCCAAGCTCAAGGACGAAATGCGAAGCTGCGGGATCGGCAGTTTCGACCAGTATACGGGAGAAGACTGCTGGGTCAACCTGAGCTACACCATTGTGGCCTTCACCAAGCAGATGATGGCCTTCCTGGAGGAAGGGTTGAAGCTGTACTTCCCAGAGCTGCACATGGTGTTTCTGGAGAGCCTGCGGGAGATCATCCTGGTGGCGGTGCAGCATGTGGACTACAGCCTGCGCTGCGAGCAGGAGGCAGAGAAAAAGGCCTTTATTCTGCAGAACGCATCGTTCCTGCATGAGACGGTGCTTCCTGTTGTGGAGAAGCGGTTTGAGGAGGGAGTCGGGAAACCAGCCAAACAGCTCCAGGATCTGAGGAAGAGCTCTCGGTCTGTCAGGGTCAACCCCGAGAGCACCATGTCCTTCGTCTAATAGAGATGAGTTCGGACGTGAATGAAGGAGACTAACTAGAGGTCTTCAAATCTCAGTACATTTCACTACATTGCACTCATGTGACTCATTTTTGGTGTTGCGATGCACTCCTAACCTCTCACACTCTTTAAAGGAATAGTTCACTGAAAATAAAAATTCTGTCATTTTTTTTTTTTTTTGTACTCACATTTATGACAAACCTTTATGTTGTTGTACACAGAACACAAAAGGAGAATTAAAAAAATCTAACTGCAACTAATTGCATCCATTAAATTTCCGCCACAGAATAAAACAAAATAGATAATTGTGACTTTTTTATCTCACAATTCTGATTTCTCTTGCAATTCTGAGAAAAAAAGAACGGCAAGATATACATAGAGTTGTGAGATATAAACGAATGTAAGTAAAAAAAAAAAAAAGTACAGTCCTGTGACTAATTGCGAATTTTTATCTCAGTTCAGACTTTTTTTCTCTCAATTGCGAGTTTATATCCCACAATTCTGGCTTATCTTCTCAGAATAGTGAGTTTATATCTCAAAATTGTGAGTTTATTGCTTACGATTAGAATTTGTCAGAATTGCTTATAAACTTAGAATTGAAATTGCAAGTTAACATCTCAGTTCTGAGTTAATATCTTGAAATTCAGACTTTTTGCGAGTTTATATTATGAGCTCTTTATCGCAGAAGTGAGAATTGTGAGAAAAAAATTGTAATTGCCTTTTATTTTTTTTATTCTGTGGCAGAAACGGGCTTCTGTGTCCAAACCAAATGGCAACTGTATAACACTTAAATGTAATAATATTTAGTGTATTGTGCTTTGTCGAGAGATCAGCTGTTGGTTCTTTAATCATTTATAATGAACTGTATATTATTAAAGTAAATGGAAATTAATAGTGCCCTATTAAAATGTAAAGAATTACATTTGTAATTTCAATCAAACAAAAAGACAGGTGTAAAGATGAAAACACTGTTATATATACTGCTTTCTTTTGAGTGTTTTTGTACACATAAACTAGTAAACGTCTGGTTTAAAAAAGCAAGGTGCATTATACTCACTTAACATGAATATGCTGTATTCTTTTGAGCCTATGCTCCAGATGTCGAAGCTTTTAAATGTAGTGCCCCCTGGTGTACAGGGAATTGTTTAATAAAAATAAGGCTCTGTTAAATAAATATCCCAAAGCCAAAGTCTTGGCAGAGTTATTCAAAATATTCCTTTTCTCTTTGATACTGCTGTTTCTGTTCTCTGCCAGACTTCATATCCTTGATCAAATATTAGCAAGGTCTTATTGTTATTGTGTTTTGTTGTTTTATCCCTCCCGACACATAATACACAGACAACTTTGAATTTAAAAATGATAAGATGGGGAAAGGTTTAAGGTGTTGGCACTGTTCATGGGACTTATATGAAATTATCTTCTAAATCAATTTGAAACAAGAATTTTAATGCATACAAGAATATCTAACTTCACTATTTGATGCAATCTGGTTTGCACTGATGCACACAACATGGATGCTGTTTCTCCAGTATTCTTAGGTAAGCGTCACCCTCTGGGTTATGACAGGAGTTCATTTTGTCTTGGCAGACCCCCAGCCTAATCTCACGGATCAGTCTTGCGCCTCTGAACAAAACGACAGGCATGTGAGAGAGAACAAAAGCACGTGCCTTTGTGCCCCCGACTGTCAAATAAATATTTTAACCCTGCACTATTAGTTTATATTGGACTGGACATTAATCAAAAATATTTTGTGATTCACGTTTTCTGTCCTATTTCTCAATTTTCACATTTATTTTTCCTATACATACTATATATATATATATATATATATATACACGGTATATATATATATGTATATAAACCTAAAACTAGAAAAATTATACTATTTGTGTGTACATGAAATTTTGTTTAAACCATGTATTTCAAGAAAAAAAGTAGCTACTATAAATGCTTATGTATAAATAAATACACATTGATTTTTATATGAGTATAATATTTTTCCCATTATTTATTTTTTATATGAATGTAATATTTCCCCCATTACTAGTCAATCATTAGATAAGGTGGTGTGGTGATGTATGTGTGATGAAGTGCTCATTAATTCTGTGCTGTAATTAGACTGTGTGGGCAGGGTGGACTGTAAGCAGCCCGATGCATGCTGTGAAAAATTCCTTGCTCTAATTATTCACGGCCACACACAGAAATAGGCTACTGGTCAGCTCTCTCGGAAGCCAGCACAATTACAACGCCTGTCCTCCTTTGACGGGGTTGTTTACACACGGGCTTCTTTAAATTGCAAATTAGGCCAAACCTATTACCCTTGAATACGGGACGATAATACAAATTCCTTTCGCTGCATTTAATTAGCGGAATTATGGGAGTTGTAGTTTTTAAGTGGTCAGCAGAAGCGGCGGGTATCAGCGTAGGGACTACAACGCCCACAACCGTTCTCTCACTGCGCATGCGCGGAGCGGGTAACTGGAGCTGTCCGCATCTGTAGTGCTGCTCTGATTTCATTGAGCGCGATGGAAGAAGAACTGAAATGCCCGGTTTGCGGTTCTCTCTTCAAGGAGCCGATTATATTACCGTGCTCTCATAATGTCTGCCTGGCGTGTGCTCGGAATATCATCGTGCAGACTCCGGAGGGAGAGACCCCTCCGCAGAACCGATGCTCCTCGGACTATGACTATCTGGATATGGACAAGATGAGCATGTACAGCGAGACGGACAGCGGCTACGGCTCATACACGCCGTGCCTGAAGTCTCCCAACGGAGTGCGCGTGTTACCGCCGGCGCTGGTGCACCGCCACTGCTCCATCACCTGCCCGCTGTGCCACCGCAGCGTGTCCCTGGAGGAGCGCGGGCTCCGCGGCTTCCAGCGCAACCGGCTGCTGGAGGCGATCGTGTCCCGCTACCAGCAGAGCCACGCCGCCTCCGTCAAATGCCAGCTGTGCGACCGCAATCCGGTGGACGCCACGGTGATGTGCGAGCAGTGCGATGTGTTCTACTGCGCTCCGTGCCAGCAGCGCTGCCACCCCTCCCGCGGACCGCTGGCCAAGCACCGGCTGCTGCCGCCGGTGGCTCCAGCGCAGGCGGGGACCGCCTCCGCGCGCAGACAGGCGACCTGCGTGGATCACGAAGCGGAGAACTACGGCATGTACTGCGTCAGCTGCAAGACCCCCGTGTGCTACCAGTGTCTGGAGGAGGGCAAACACGGCAAGCACGACGTGAAGCCCCTGGCCGCCGTGTGGAAACAACACAAGGTAATTAACACATTGTGGCACTGTGGCTGGACCATGTAGTGCAGTGATGGAATCACATGGTAAAAACATGGTACTTTCTGAAATTCATGGTACACCATGGTATGTTACTCCAAGGTACTTTCAAGAATACCACGGTCCTACCAAGGTACTCGTCTTCCTTAAATAAGTAAATAAAAACAAGTTGGTATGGTAGCACACCAAAAAAGTTCCAAGAAGTACCATTTCAATCTTAGAAGAAATTGTGACCCTCTCTGAAATCCAGGCTAAAGTCTCAAAATCTAATTATGATATAACAAGCATCAAAGTTTGATTTCACTCTGATTTCAATCTTTGACATGGTCTTGCTCAGTCAGTATTAAAGATATCAAGGTTACATGTTCACAGAAAGTTCTTTACCGTATGAAGGATGGTTTTATTGTAGAAAACAGTAAATCACAAAAAATGACTTTAGCTGGGTTTTCACAGACAGGGTCACAATTATTTTATATTGAACTTTTAAGGATTATATCACTGTTATATTTGGACCCCCTGCTGTGGTTCATTACAGATGAAGATTTTTAGATATATATATTTTTTTTTTGAGAATTTAATCAAAAGACCCAATAGTTCTAAAACATTTATATAGTGATGCAAATAAAAGAACCATTTTAGGTTCCCCAAAAAACCTTTATATGAAAAGTTCTTAAAAGAATATGCTCTTAAAAGCCTTTTCCCCTAAGAATATAAAGACATTTTTAATATACTGAAGGCTCTTCGTGGAACTATTGATGCTAAAACTTTTATTTTTAAAGATAGAATCCTTTTAGGATTCTAAACATGAGATCATAACATTTTATGGATTACATTCTTGTTGAAGTGCTATTTCATGTATGTATCAATGAAACACATATAGTGTATTTTATCACTGAAATAAACTTAAAATAACTATTACACAGTCATCAACAACTCATTTAGTTAATTAATCTTTATCCTGAAGAACTCTTTTTTTGGGCCAAAAAGGTTCTTTTCGTTAATTCAGTTCCATTCAGTAAAAATAAATAAATAAAATAAAAACAGAACCCTAATATACTTAACCCTAATAAACCCTAATTTCTCAATGTAATTTTTTTCAATACATTTACAGTGCTTTTTTAACCATGACATTATGAAAATGTTCAGATTTTTAATTTCTCCTTTTGTGTTCCATATACAACAACATAAAAGTTTGACATGGTGATGGCGAGTAAATAATGACAGATTTTTTTTTCCCCTTCAGTGAATTTTCAGTGTGGTGTTATTTGAACTACCTTGGAATAGCTTGCAAATGTATTGAACAAGGAATAAAATCTATTGCATCTATTGAATAAGATTTTCGGCTAATAAATGCATGTTCTTGTTAAAGTGCTGCAGGAGATGGTTCACATTTTTGGTTTTGACACTTAAAGGGTTAGTTCACCCAAAAATGAAAATTAGGCTGCGTTTTACTCACCCCCGA